TGCTGCTGCTGCCGCTGCTGCTGCCTGCGGTTCCTCAGCAACCACACAGAGATTCGGAGATAGTGGCTGGGGAAGAGGGCAGTCCCTTGGGCACTTTGGGAGACTCTTCTGCCTGCGCCGTCAGTTAGTTGAAAAGCTGGGCTTCTTTGTTCAGGGAAAACAAACAAACACATTCTGAGCGGCTGATTTTCCTCTCTGTTGTTCTTGGTTTTCCACCCGTGTTACTCTGTTGTAGAGCGATTCAAAATATCCCCCTATAGACAAAGAAGGAACGTTAAGGAGCCAGGCTGAGCTTTAGACTGGCAGTTTGTGTTCATTTTTGCTCATGCTGCAAATTCTTCCCTAGGTGTGTCCCCGGCAGGATGGATTCTTGCTCCCAGCTCTGGCCCTGGGCATTATTTGTGCTGCTGGGTAAGGCTCTGGCTGCTCGGTGCTTCTGGGGGCGTCTGATTAAACAGCAACACTGCTAATGGAAGCTTTGTGTTAGTAGCAGTGTTGTGGCAGCAGCTCGGGGACTGGGAGATGTTAACAAGGTGATGTTTGGCAAAAGGCTGCTCTGTCCTGAGCAACCAGCTCCAGGGATGGCTGTGCAGGGACACAGGGGACCCCCAGGCAGGGCAGCTGGGTGTGAGGGGCAGGGGACTGAGCATCCCTGTGGCCCAAACACTGGGGTCGTGGTGAAGGAGAGTTTTGGAAGTGACTGATGTTACAAAGCACCTAAAAAAATACCTTATTAAAAGTGAAGGCGATTCAGGGGCAAAAATACCTTTGTGCTTTTTGCCATCTGCGTTTTGTGGGTTTGTGCCAAGGATGACTTTGTAGTTGGTCTGTTGTAGGGAACAGCAGACATGCTGGTTGATGTCTCTGTGCTGCCCTGACGAAACCACAAGTCCTGTTTTCCTGCTGTTCCAGCTGCCCCGTGGCCCCTGGAGGCACAGGGAGCCTGTCCCCAGGGAGCCTGCTACCCTCCTGCTGGAGACCTCCTGCTGGGACGAGCCCATCTCCTCAGAGCCTCCTCCACCTGTGGCCTCACCAAGCCCGAGACCTACTGCACACCCCACAGCGAGGTACAGTCACCCCTGTGCTCCTCAGCCTCCTGCTGATGCATTCACCCATCCTATCCACCCTACCATTTTGCAGGGATGAGTTTAACCTATTTCAGTTTTTTTTACCCTGGGTCATCACACCATCTGTGGTGGCCCCTCAAGCCCAGATAGCTCCTCCATCCTTGCAGCAGAGACGAGGAGCTGGGTGTGAACACAGTGGCAGGGAAAGGCAGCGAAAGAAAGCTGGGTGTGAAGCTTTTGTATCCCAAATATCCCAAGCCTTCCTACCTCCCAGATTTTTAGTTATGAACTGAACTCATATTTCACTTGTGAAAAACAGGAAGACTTCAGGTCTTTCACAAAGACTTGGAAAATCTTCTGAACTGCTCTCAGTCCTGCTGGTTGTGCGGGGGCAGGAGATGGTGCTGGGAGGGGGGGGGATAATGGTTCAGCCAGCTGCAGATCCCAGGCTGCAAAGCTGTCACCGAATCAGAGTAAGAGTTTATGGATAAGTCTGGCTGAGCACAGAGCTGAAATCGCTGCAGGGGTGATGTCCCTGGGGGGAGCACTTCCCAGAGCCTCTCTCTGTCGGTCTGGCAAAGTTAACCCTGTACCTGCTGTAGGAGGAGCTCCAAAGGGAGGGGGTTCAATGTGGACAGACAAAAAGGGTCTTGGAAGAGGTGCCCCAGAGGGAAGAAAATGCCAGAGCTCTGGTGAGGCAGTGTTTTCTGCAGTGAAATCCAGCTGGAGTGAGTCAGCTTCCTTCTGGTTTTAATCCCCCTTCAAGAAGGAGGCCAAGATGTGGCAGCCAGTGCTTGTGTTCCAGGGCCTGTGTTCTCACTGGGCTGGGGGGTGTTTGCTGCTCTGTGGGGAAGGCCAGGAGCTCTTGGTTGGTGTGAAACTGGGGCAGCTCCCTGGCCTGGATGGGTATGAGCATCTCGTCCTCCTGGATGCTGGGCTGGCTGCAGCATCTGTCCTTGGTCAGGTCCTTTTCCAGGCTGACAGTTGCACTCAGGCATTTCCTCCCTTCAGGCTCACATTCACTTTTTTTTGGAGCTGTTTTGCTGCTCCCCGGGAGTGGGGCTGTTTGCTCACCTCTCCTGCAAAGCCCCACTGCTTCCCAAGGGTGCTGAGGCCCTTGGACAGGAAAAAAAGCAAGCAATTATTCCTGATCTGGCTTTTTTTTTTTTTTTTTTCCTGATTTCTGTTTATACTTGAGGAAAACTGTGCATAAATGTACTTCTGAAATCTTCACTTAGCATTGACTTTTGACAGGGGCTTTTGCTTGAAGAGGAGGCTTGTACTGTGGGAAGTGAGTGTCTGCAAAACCTTGAGTAAGGTGGTTGTCCTAGTACCAGTTGGAGTGGGCTCTTTATTCCCTTTGCCTGACCCACAGAGGTCACTCTGAAGGGCCTTCAGCTGTGATCATATGCATCACCTGTCATCTTTGAAGTGCAGATTGGGTGCCTCTCTGGTGGCTGTGATACACCTTGAGCAGGAAGGATCCATTTGGTGCAGAATTAGGGAGTGAGGTCTCATGGCAGTTGTGTGGAGGAAGGCAGACAGCAAGACTGCAGCAGTCTCTTCTAGTCTTCAAGTCTAAACTATTCAATTTTCAAATTCCTTTATACCTTGCCTGGTAAGTACCAGGGTTAATAGGGATATAGAAGAATTAGCACTGGTGAGTTGCACTGGATTCTCCAGTTGTAGCTTTGGGAATGGGGTCTTTGCTTCCTTTCTGTCTACAGGTGTGTGAGCCTTTCCTGAATGGAGAGATGCATCATTACTGCCAGCAAATTCCTCAGAGACCCTTTCCTCTCTTTTGCAGCTCTAATGGCTAATGGGAGTTTTGAGTATACCAGCTCCTGTCTTTGCAGGAGAAATCCCTTCACGTTGGGCATTTCCTCTTTTTTTCCCCTCCCTTTTTCTACTAATTTAAGCACAAATTAACCCCCTGAACTCAATTTTCCTGTTCCCATCCCAGAAAAAGGAGGCACATTTAATTTATTGGCTTTTTTAAAATTTTGGTTACAAGCCTTGCTCCTGTTTGATTGCCAAATAGGTACAAATTTGGAGTCAGTTTTGCAGTCTCAGCAGAGGGCATGGGATGAGGGGTTGCTCTGGCTGGGGATGCCCTGGTGCCAGCTGGCAGGGACACACTGTCTGCCAGCCCCCCTGGGTGCTCTTGTGCAACTCTGGTGGGTCACTCACTGTCAGCATCCATTCCAGCCTCTGTTCCATTGTCTGCTCGGGCTCCAAATCCCTCTAACCTTTATACTTTGCATTACTGATTGCTCCATCCCTTGGCTGTGGGCTCAGGCTGGAGAAATCCAGGGGGGGATGCTCAGCATTGCCATTTATAGCAGGGGAACTGCGGCCATGGTTAGAAAAGTGCTGGGGGTGGAAAGCAGGCAGACCAATGGAAATCACTTGGTGCTTGGGAAATGGCTGTTGGAGACAGCAGGGAAGGTACAGGCAAGAGAGAAGCTGAAAATAAAATAGAAAAATAATTGTGCCTGGATTTGGAGGGATAAAGGTGCTGATGTGCATGGAAAGGCTTTCACTGAGGTGTGACTGAAGGCCCAGTTCACTCATCTCTCTGTTCAAATGTGCAGTGCAGATGGTGCTGGGAGGGAAGGCAATGGTGTGGCTTTCACATGGATTAGCAGTTCCTGGTCCCCAAGCCTGGCCTGTCAGGGTGGCAGCAGGGGGGCTGTGTGTGCTGGGCTGTGCTGCTGACAGCAGTGCTGCCCGTGCTGTGGGGGGTGCCCACCCAGCAGGATCAACCCTTCTCTGAGGGGGGAGCCTTTCTGTCCTCCTGCTAGTGCAGGGCTTTCAGCTTGGACATATTCAGAGCTAGAAAACAGAGACTTTACTGGTTGCTCTGTTCCTTTGGAGGGGCACCCCAAACACCTTGCACATCCCTGGGAAGTCTTTTTGCCAGGCAAGAGAAGATGGGCACTGGGTGTCCTGGTGTTGCTGCTGCTTCCTGCCTCCTGCAGAGGAGCAGCTTGTGTGTCTGGTGACTGTGTGGGTCCTCACACGGTGACCCAGGGAGACTTTGAGTATAAACATATTTGCATAAGGTCAAGGAGCAATATTTTCTGCCTGCTCTTACCTGCTTTTCATGGGCATTTGGTGGATATGAGCAGCAAAGGGTAGGAAGTCACTGTGTTGTGGTGACATTGGGTCATCCAGGTAGGAATTGAGATGAAAGGGATCAGAGATGCCTAAATGACCCCTAAATGAGTTGATGGGAGGAGAGTGTGAGCCTGGTGGGCAGGAGAGCTCCTGGCATGGCTGAGGATTCCTCTTGCTGATGGGTGGTCACAGCTGCCTGGCAGGGCTTGGGCTGTAGCATCTCTCCCTGTGGTTGCTCAGCACCGAGTCGTCTTTGGCTGCTTCCAAAAATACAAACCAATGTCTGTAGAAGACAGTATGTGCAAGACAAATGCTTCTGTCTGCCTTACTGCCACTATCTGATGGCTACATCTGCTTGCCCACCTGCACGAGTCGGTCAGGGAGCTTGGGACTGATCCAGAACATGGTGCCTGCCTGTGCTTCAGCGGGCCCTGGGCGTGTTGGAACAGGGGAGAACACGCTGGAAAGCCCCTGTGCTTCCCAGCTCATCTGCTTTTCAGACCCACATCAGCAAACTCAAGGCTTTTACACAGAAAAAATAGTGAAGTAATTGTGGTTGGGTGGGACCACAGGAAATCCAACACCCTGCTCAAAGCAGGGCTTCCAGTTTGGGGTATTGCTTCTTAATGTCCAGGATTTGCACAGAATAATTTGTCTTCCAGACCTGGTGTAGATAACGTGGGGCAGCTCTGTGCTTGTCTCATCTCTGCGTTCAGACACACCCAGCTCTTGGCTGCAGGGATGTGTCCCTACCTGTAGTGAATGTGCAGAAGAAAAACTCCTTTTCCCCTTATTTTTTTTCCTCCTCCCTTCTCTGTATCTTCTTCTGCCACACGAGTGCACCCTGGCACGTGTCCTGGGAGCCACCTCGTCGCTCCCTCGCAGACGCGCGGCAGAGGGACCCCGGGGCTGCCTGGGGGGGGTGGGGATGGGCTGTGCAGGGGCTGTGCAGACTGTCATCCTGGCAGGTTATAAATGAAGTTTCACTGAGGTGGGAGATGATGTGAGAACAGACGGGGTGAAGAAAACAGGCACCCACGTGCTTGCTTTTAAGCAAGGAAAATGAACTTAATTTCCTGAAACCCTGGGATGCTTCTCCAGCCGGTGCCTTCTTCCTCGTCTCCTGTTGCCTCTGAATTTGGGGGTCACCAGCAAAACCAAGCTGAAGGTCAGAGCCCTCTGATCATGATTTGACCATAACCTCAGAGCTCACATCCCAGTGGCACTTCTGCCTGGCAAAGCCAGGATGTGACATTAGATGTGAGGCTGAGAGATGTTACCTGTTTAAAGCCTGATACCCAGTCCAGTTTAGCAAACACCAGGGGCACACTGTGAAATTTAACCACACCAACACAGCCATGGGGAACTTCTGCCAGGTGTTCCCATGGAGAATGTATGGAATACTTCACAGGTGAGACAAGCCCTGCTCCATGGGCCTGGCATAGCAGTGTCCTACAGTGGGTGTTACCAGGGAAGGAAAATGGGTTGGAATAGAGAATTGTGTAACTTGGTGCCTTTGTTCCTGGGGTAATTTTTTCTTGCTGCCCACCCTATTTCTCAGCAATGCCCCCGATCTTTCTATATACATATAAATACCACTGCCTTCCAGATTGCCCCTAAATAAACCTGGAACAGTAATTGCTGTCCTATACAATATGAATTGTGCAAGACCTGACCAGGCTGGGGGTGGGGAGGCTCCGTGCCAGGAGCCCGACTGACACAGTGCCTGGGGCTGGCAGGGGGCTGGGGAAAAGGCAGGACCACAGAGGTCTCTGCAGTTAGGAAAGATCTGCATTTCAGGGCTGGAAAGAAGCAGCTTCCCATTTTTGCTGATGAAGTTTATTTTGGGTTCTGCACCTATGCCAGGAGGTTTTATTTCAAGGGCTCTCTACTCATATTAAAATGGCAGCTAGAGCTACTTAAAATACTTTGGTCTGAGTCCATAAGCTTAAAATGCTTGTGGTTTCTGCCCCTGTGTGAGCAGGGAAGCATGGAAGGCTGAGCAGGGACTGGGCCATGAGGCTGGAGCAGGAGGAGGGCAGCAGAACCCTGCGGCAGAGCTGTGGGGAGGGCAGTGGCTGGGCCTGCACCCTGTCCTGCACACACCACACACTCCCAGCTGTGCTGGAATGTACAGGCATTTTTACAGTCCCTGCTTGTTCTTCTACATGGATATATTTTTTCCCCTCCACCATTTATTTCTAAAACATGACAGCTGAAGCTCAGCACTGTGGCTTTTCCTGTGGACCAGCTGCTGTCTGAATTACCTTTTGAAAGGCTGGAAGGAATTCCTTTTACTCTCTGAACCTCTGTAACCTGCATTTTGGGTGACCCTTAGGAGCAGCCTGGAGGCACAGAAGGGCAGTTAAGTGGCTTCCATGCAGACCTACAACTTCCTTTCCATTTCTATAGGCCCTCCAGCCCCACATCTTGTACCTGCTGATTCTCCTGCTGCAGTAGCACTGGGGCTGGAGCAGCTGGTGCTGGGAGCCAGGGCTGGGTAGCCCAGCTCAGCCCCTAACCTCTTCATTGCCAATCTTCACGTACTCCCAGCTCCAAGGGATCCACTGAGGCTGTTGCTGTGCTAGTAAAGAAGGGAAGTGCTGGGGAAAGATGTGTGCTTGGTGAATCTGCCCACAGCCCAGCACTGGGCCATCATTTTTGGTAATTCCCTCTGTCCCAAGGAACTTTGAGACACATAGTCACAGGCAGTAACAGCAAACCCTCCTCTTGTGCAATGAAGGTGTTTCACAATTTGCTCCAAGGCTGGAAATGGATTTTGCTTCCAGTGTTAATTTTAGCCCTAATTAAAATGCTGAGGGGGAGGAGGAGAAAAAAATAGGCAAATAATTTTGGATGTTTGCCCCCAGCACAGCCCCTGGGCTGCACAGGAGGGTCTGTCAGGCAGAGACAGGCAGTTAAAGCTTCAGGTTTACTTAGTGCTGCATTTTAAGTGTGGTCTTCCAGACCTGGTGTAGCTTCACTGCCAACATTGCATCCTGGCTATGAGAAGGCACTTGTGTCTCTGGCACTAATGTGAATTCTCTAATAAGCATGTGTGAATCATTCCTAATGCATAATTTAGCTGAGATTAACCTTTCCCCTTGCAGAAAGCCTTCCTTCTCCCTTTGCTAATCACAGAACTCTTGTGAAGTTTAATCATTATTGGGAATTGTTCACTGGTTTATTTCTGTGGGCAATTCCTGTAGCTTCCCCACAGTTGTGTTGTCCTGAAATTTCAATTAATAACTGACATCAGTAGTCATTATCTGAAATGATAATGCCTGGACCCCATTGCATTATTTCTGATTCCTACTGGCAGAGCCAGGAGGAGTTGGTAGAGCCAGGGAAATTGCATGATTATATATTTTGAATTCTCTGTTTGCTTACTTTGCAACATTGTTATAAATATTGTAGTTAGCCAACTCCTGTTCTGGGATATTTATAGACAGAGAACATAAAGACTGTGGAAAATGTTATGGAAATAGATCAGTTTTGAGTGAGGATCTCTCCTCAGCATCTGCCCAACTTGCCAAGTGTTCCCAGGTCAGGGCAGAGCAAGTCAGGTCTGGGCTTTGAAGGAGCTAGAACAGCCCAGGGTCTGTCTCAGGTCTGTCTGCTGCTGCCCAGGCAGCTGCCCTGCCCTGGCAGGGGAGCAGTCCTGGAGCTGAGACCCTTATTTTGTAGAAATAAGAGGCTCCACTGGTGCAGCCTGTTCTGGGAGTGTGGAAATACGTGTAAATGTGAGTTAATCTTCTAAAGAGGAAACCAGAAATCTTGGTGCCACTGTGTCCCCCTGACCACCTGCTGCTGCCTTCCCCAGGCACAGATCTCTCCCAGCCCCAGCTCAGAGTGTAGGGTCGAGTTTGCACTGGAATGGGCTCGTTTGCTGAAGTATGAGGTGGGGATATTTTAGCACAGAGGTGGCTGTAAAGTGCTACTTGTCACTTGTCACCCGATATCTCTGCTGCACCTCTGAAAGCTGATCTCATCACTGGGGGCCTGAACGTGCTCTTCCCCTCTGCTGTCCCTTTCTGTGCCTCCCCAGGGACTGCCAGCCCTTGCAATGGGGTATTTTGTTGCCTTGCAGGTGTCAGATGTCAGACCTTGTTCCAGACATGTTCCCCTCTGCTCCTCCAAACCCTCTTTCCTCCAAGATGACCTTTCTGAGCCGTCCTGTCCCACACCAGCCATCACTGGCAAACACTCTTCGTCATCTTCCCCAATTCCTTGGTCCTTGGGATGTGCTGGCAGGAAGCATGTGTCCCTCTGCTACACTTGGGAGGCCACTTTACTGCTTGGGATGTGAAAACTTCGATTTCTAATGGGAATGTTTCACATCACTCTTGCTTTTGGGACAGCATTATCTGCAGCCCCTTTGCTCCACTCTGAGTGTGGCTGGTACCGAGTGCTTGGGATGCTCCTGTGGGATGCTGCTGTGGGATCTGTCCTACCCTGGTATTTGATCAGCCCTCTGGAACCTGCCCTTCCCCACCTTGGCCTCACCTGGGTGTCCCTCCATGCTTTGAGGTGGCCCTTGCCCAGCCTGCTTGCCCACCCCGTGCCCATCTCTCCTCTTGGCCTGGGTTTGGACCTTCCCCTCTCCCATCCCTGGCTCAGTCTGCCTCTTTCTGCACATTCCTGGGCCTACACATGTGCTGCACACACCGTGTGGCTGCACGGAGCCCTCCTTGGTTACTCAAAATGTGGGTATTTGTTTGCTCCTCGGGGACCCGGGTTTCTCCCTGTGCCAGGGCTCCGCTTGCTCCTTGAATCGCTTGCTCAAGTGAAAGGCTGAACTTTGAGCCACTCGACTTCCCACCCGCTGCCTCCTCACCCGCTGAGCTGTTTGCTGCCACCCTGCTCCCTGGGGAGAGCACAGGGCCCGAGCACCACCGGGCTGGGGATGAGAGAGAAAGGCCTTTCTGTTCACCCAGACAAGCAGCCCCCTGGGCTGTGTGGAAAAGGCAAACTGGTCCTGAAGAGCTGTAAAGGGTTTTCTATCTAGTGTGGTCATTGTGGAAAACAAGGGGGTTTGCTTAAAGTAAACACCTTATAAAACTTAGAAAACTGAAAACATCTGTTTTGCCAGACGTGTTTTAGTCAAAAGCATTTTGGCTTTAGTTTTTAGTCCATAAAACCATGAGCTGTGTTTTTTAACACGGTGTGAAGGGGGACACTTCAGTCCTGCAAATCATTAGTTTTATTGATCATGGTTCTTCAGTTCTCTAACAAACCAGCTTTCCTGATGCCTTTTGTTTCTCCTCAAGTTCTTGGGCCCCTCACCTCTGGGGTCTTTCCCTCTGGCTGAGCTGGGATGGTCACTTCCACCTGTCGTTTCTCTTCCAGTGGAGCATGAAATGCTGCAGGTGTGACTCACGGCTGCCCCACGTCTACAACGGGCACCGTGTGGAGAACATCCTCTCCTCTGCGGGGCACGCGCGCTGGTGGCAGTCCCAGAACGGTGAGTGAGCTCCACTGGGTGTCTTGGGGTCCCTTGGAACACTGCAGCTCCTGGCCCCAGGCAGCACATGTGAGGAGAAGAAGAGCTGTTGAATTCAATAGATTGGAAGAAGGAAATAAATGGCTTGGCTCTTTTCCTGAAGGCCATGCTCTGCACCTCTGAAGCTCCCTCTCTGTGCCCACAGGCATCGAGCATGTCTCTCTGCAGCTGGACCTGGACCAGACCTTCCAGCTCAGCAGCATCCTGCTTCACTTCAGGGTTTGTGTGCATCATCTCTGCTTGTGAGGAAGTCACACATGGCAGTGGATGGGCCCCAATGACTTTGTGTCTGATAGGAAGCACGCCAGGGTCCCCATCCCTCTGTTTCCCCCATTTTTCATGGCCATTCCTCCATGAGAAGGAGCAGAGCAGAGTGGTGGGTTCCCATCCCATGAATATCTGCTAAAAAACCTCCTTGGTGTGGATGTGCATTTGTGGCTGCAGCAGGGCTGGCCAAGGGGAGAGGGGGACCCAGAGATGGTTGATAACCTGCAGGGAGGGGATTTCTCCAGCAGCCTGTGGAGACCTGAGCCTGGAGGGAAGAGGAGGAGGAGGAGAGGCACCCCAGGCCCCAGGGTGGGATCTGGCCGGGCTGCCCTGTGTCCCAGACGTGTCTTTCTGCTGCCCCACAGTCCCCACTGCCCGCTGCCATGCTGGTTGAACGCTCCACCGACATGGGCAGGACCTGGCAGGTGTACCAGTACTGGGCCTCCGACTGCGCCGCCGCCTTTCCCCGCATCCCCCGGGGCTCCCCCGAGAGCTGGCAGGACCCTCGATGCCAGGCACTGCAGGGGTCCCCTGGCCGTGGTGGCACGGTAGGATCTGATGGGTTGTGTGGCAGGGACCCCGTGGTGGCCCTGGGTGGGGGTGGGGGGGGTGGCCTGAGCAGCGCTGCAGGGACACGTGCTGGTCTGGAGCTCTCCCCTGGAGAGGGATGGAGCCCATGGGCACCCAGCGCTGCTGAGGGGAGTCCTCAGGAGGATTCTTGCTCCTCTGGGAGGGAAGCCACCTGCAGGGAAGGGATTTCTCCAGCAGCCTGTGGAGACCTGAGCCTGGAGGGAAGAGGAGGAGGAGGAGAGGCACCCCAGGCCCCAGGGTGGGATCTGGCCGGGCTGCCCTGTGTCCCAGACGTGTCTTTCTGCTGCCCCACAGTCCCCACTGCCCGCTGCCATGCTGGTTGAACGCTCCACCGACATGGGCAGGACCTGGCAGGTGTACCAGTACTGGGCCTCCGACTGCGCCGCCGCCTTTCCCCGCATCCCCCGGGGCTCCCCCGAGAGCTGGCAGGACCCTCGATGCCAGGCACTGCAGGGGTCCCCTGGCCGTGGTGGCACGGTAGGATCTGATGGGTTGTGTGGCAGGGACCCCGTGGTGGCCCTGGGTGGGTGTGGGGTGGGTGGCCTGAGCAGCGCTGCAGGGACACGTGCTGGTCTGGAGCTCTCCCCTGGAGAGGGATGGAGCCCATGGGCACCCAGCGCTGCTGAGGGGAGTCCTCAGGAGGATTCTTGCTCCTCTGGGAGGGAAGCCCTCCCTGCTTTGTGATGAGCAAGGTGTTTTGTTCCTGCAAAGTGCTCTGCAACTCGGAATTATTTACCCGGTGCTCAGTGAAGTTCTGCAGAGGCAGGTCTAGAGCATGAGGTGCAGGCACCTCTTCTTTCCTGCTTTTGGACTTTCCATTTTCCTTCTCAGGTGAAGTTCAGCATCCAAGACCTGGCATCTACCATCACTACCTCTTACAGCCAGACTGTTGATAGTAAGTGAAAAACCTCTTTTATTGAGAAAGGAAGAGGGGATGATGGACCTTGTGGTTCTTCCTGCATGTGAGGGAGAGCACCGGGCCAGGTTAACCCTGCAGGGAGCTGCTCCTCAGCAAGGAGGGCCTCAAGCTGCAGGTTTGACTGCTGCCCTGGTGCCTCTGCTGTGTCAGGGAGTAGTTTTGCTGACGACTCAGCTGCTGCTCTTTGTGCCGACGTCTCTGTCCCTGGCTCTGAGCCCTCCACACAAGCCACGGGCTGCCCCTCACCCCTCTCCTTGGTCCCCAACAGACCTGGGCCAGTTCACCAACCTGCGGATCAACTTCACCGAGCTCGCCCACATCCCACGCCAGGGCTACCACTCTCCCAGCACTTTCTTTGCGGTGACAGAGATGGGGGTGCGGGGGAGCTGCTTCTGCCACGGCCACGCTGACCGCTGCACCTCTTCAGGAGACCCTCATGGTGTGGTGAGTGCTGGGGCAAAGCAAAACGCCCACAGGCAAGCCCTGTCGTACCAAACCAGCCCTCAACCCTGGTAGGAATGTCAGGAGGATGAAGCTCTGGAGCCCAGGGGCTGCCATCCAGGGGGGTAAAGCGTTGTCTCTGCAGCAGGTGCCCGGGCACTGCCTGTGTCAGCACAACACTGCTGGTCCCCACTGCGGCCACTGCGCTGCCCTCTACAACGACCGGCCCTGGGCCCCCGCGGAGGACAACGACCCCCACGAGTGCCAGAGTACGGCAGGAGCCTTTCCCCTCTCCTCTTCCCCA